CCCAGTTTTCTCTGTTTTTTGTGGAACATTTTTCATTTCTGTGAGGTGTCTGGGGATAATCGAAGACTTCGCTACTGACCACTTGTGGAAGAGGTGCAGGTTCAGCCAACTCACCAAGTGCACTCCATCACACACTTGGGGTGAAGCAGTCTGTCACTGATGGAGCTGCCCAGTGCTGCCAGAGTCCCACCACAGGGTGGGAGGCAAAACATGATGATGATGATGATGATGAAAAGAACAATGAATCCGCCATCGGCACAACACCCCTGGTTACAGCTAGCAAACCTGTACTGTACTGTCTACTGTCATAACCATAAATGGTAAGTAGACTTCATTTAGTGTAGGAAATGGCCAACAACTCAATTCAGACACATGGTGCAGATTATTTTAAATTTATTGAAATGACTTATCCTCCTAGGCTGCTACTACCTTGCATTGCCAGTGGTTAAGGTTAGCCACTGCACAACATGGTCCATATTCATTAAGGACAATGAGGGTAGTGGATACTGGCCTGGCATGATGAAGATACATAGATAGATACACACTGTACATACTGTATGTATACACACACACACCTATATACATATTTTTGTGTGTATGAAAGATGTGTGAGGTAAAATTGTACACAGGAAAGCATTGTGGCAGCAACCGAACCAAACTCTGCCCGACAGTGAAAAAGAGATTTCATTTAAAACCTTGATGGAGACCTAAATGGGTGTCAACACATTAGCTTAACTGCCTTCCCTGTTTGCAGGTTCCTACCAGAGAGTACAGGTTAGTCAGAGCAGGCGCGAAAGGGTGGGTATTTGTTAGTTGGTTTTTTTTTGTTGTTGTTAAATCAAAATACACAAATATCAAAAAAAAGTTAAGTGACAGTTGCTAGAATAATCAAGACAAGTCTTTAATCCATTTATGAATGTTTATGAGATACAGTAGCAAAGCTTTCTTGTAATCACATTAAAAAACCGATTCCTGGAGAGCTGAGTGTATTTTGAAATGAGATGTTTACTGCAGACATAGAAATCCAGGAGTTGTAACAAATGATTCCTATGAGTATTGCAAAATTCTCAAACTTAATGCTCTTACTGTTTCTCCTCTGTTTTTGCCTCTGTGTATGAAATGTGCTATATAAATAAAGTTTGCTTTGCCTAAAATAACTCGGATATAAATAAAAATGCAATTGTGGTAGAATTTAAGTACATTTATTCAAATATTGTACTTGAGTACAATTTTAAAGGTGCTACTAAGTAATACTGTAGTGTTTCTATATTGCCAGCTTTATACTTCTACTACATGTCAGAGGTAAATATTGTATTTTTTACTCCATAACATTTGTCTGACAGCTAGTTACTAGCATGTTTTCCAATTAACCAGATTTTCTCACTCTTCCTGTCCAGTGAAATCCATGTATCTCCAAACTTGATGATTTTGAACTTTTCTGACAAACTGAAGAATAAAGTGTTCATTTAAGGTTGGAGAAAATTCTCCTGCGTTTTACTGTACCAATCAAGTGTTTGGACACAGTATACCCATTCATTTCAGTGGGACAGTGTGTCCAAACGTCTGGCAGGTAGTGCACGGCACACTGCTGTAGATTAAGTGATAAACAGTATATTAAGAAGTTAAACTCAGTGCAGCCAGTGGCCTTTTAGTTCCCTAAAGGAACATTCTAATAAGCGTTTTAATTGCTTTATACCAATGCTCAGGTAATTTACTTGGCACAGAAGTTATAGAAGACAGTCGGGGAAAACATTCATTTTGATTATTTCTGCTCTGCCCACAAAGTGTTCACTATCAGGTGAAATCTCTGGTAGTTTAGCTTAATTTAGGGCCATTTATCTCAAATATCTTCTCAGCAGGGGAAGTTGTATTTATACCAGGATATTTCAGGCCATCTTTCTTCCAAATCCCGTCTAGTCATTGCATTAGGTAGGTAGTTTTTAACTTGTCTGAAAGCTGAAAGTGCAAGTCATTTTCATGTCTTGTGGCGCATTAGTGTCCCAAGATCATCTGGTTGCTGATCACCACCGTGTGGGTTTGAGATTTTTAAAATGTGTTTTTAAAGCAGGTGATGACAAAATGACACCTTTCTTCACATTTACTGCTGCTGTGTACCTGTACATTTTACATTACAATATAATAATCCCATAAAAAGTCTTTATCAGTGAACTTCATCTAAAGTGCAGAAAAGAGAACAAACCTGGACCAGGATCAGTATTTGCTGTGACCCCCACTTTGTCTTTAAAACGGCACCGGGTCTCCTCGGTACACTTGCACACAATGATGATCCTTATCCTTTCCAGGTACTTGGCAGGTTGTTCCAGCATCTTGGAGAACCTGCCACAGTTCTTCTGTGGCTTTAGGAGCCTTGGTATCCACTGTGTCTTATAATCTTAGACTGACTTGTCATGCTGTGGACTGAAGAAGCCTCCCTGGTACTGATGATGTAGAAGAACCTAAACATCTAAAGTGTTTCAAACTTTTGAATCATACTGCACATAAACGTCAGTCAGTGTACACAATGTTTCACTTGTCTGTGTTAGGTTGATGGGTTAAACTACAAATAATAATAATTAAAAAAAAAAAAAAGATCTGTCAAAACAAATGTTTCCACTTCAGGTCATGAATAAGACACCAAATTCTACCATTTTATTGCACTGAGTGTAAAGTGCCTGAAAATCAAATATTTGTACATAGTTTTTTAACATTTACTTGATTTATTTTTCCTTCAGAGTGAGGGGTGATCAGTACGTTGTCCAACATTTTGGAACTCGATTAAAGGTTCAGTGGAACATAACCACATCCAAACACACAAACAGCTGAGGGGAGATAAACAGGTGGGTTTGAACATTTGAAACAATGGATTAGTCTTAAAGGGGTTTCTCCACAAAACTTTATAATATAAATGTTACTGTGAACTGGAGGAAGATCCTCAATGTCAGTTACAGAGTCTACTATATGCTACAACTGCTGTATCTAAAAAAAGTCCATACCTACCAAGAACACTGCATTTAAAAAAGTTCTTCAAACATATTGGTTCTTCTTTACTCGTTATTGTACATTTAAAACATGCAGCAACTTTGTATCAGTTGACTCACTTGTGCCACTTGTAGCAGTTGCCAGTTCTTGTGTAATTGTGCTGGCATGAGCTGTTTCACACCTACTGTGATGACACAGCCATGACTCATGATACACTCATGAACTCAGGACAGAAACTTCTGGATTTATGAGAAACGTAGGCTATATTGCTCATTTGTTATGTGGTATATTATTTACACTAACTACTGTGAGGAGGGTAAATAAACTCAGGGTGTGGTGTAAAAAAAAAAGCAAATCAACAAGGTATGCTACTGGAAAGTAAATTGATATGTCAAACTGGTCCAATTTAATTGCGATGTGACCGGAAATAATACTCATGTCTTTGTAAATAAAAGTGTCACTGTAGGCTAGAGCAGTGTTTCCCAACCACCGTTCCTCCAACTGGGTCCTGGAGGAAACTCCGACCCAGATGAAGGCCCTAGCATGAGTAGTGGTGAGAAGAAAGCAAAAAGGTGAGCTCAAGACAATACAATGAAAGTTATCTTAACCTTTGGATTCACCTATACTGGGGAACCAACTGAGCTAATTCCGCTATGCCTGGTGTGCGGGGAACGAGCTAATTCCGCTATGCCTGGTGTCCGGGGAAAAATCATCAAACAGTGACATGGTTCCAAGTAAACTTAAATGCCATCTCTAGACAAAACACCCATCACTTCAAAATAAAAACACAGACTATTTTGTTCAACTGCATTAATGAGGAAAACCGCCACGAAAAGTGAAAAAGCACTTAAAGCTAGCTACCAAGTTGCTGAACTCATCTGAATGACCTGAACACAGGAATGCAAGGCCGAAATGAAAACCTACTCACGAGTACAGATGAAATAAAGGGATTTTGATCAAAAGTGCAGCTCTGATCAAGGTCAAAGTGTTTATTTGTCATATGCACAGTTAGGAAACATGTTTCCCTGTACAATGAAATTCTTACTTTGCCGTCCACATGAATGCCACAAAATAGAAATTAAATATAAAGTAGATAAATAAGCAACACAAAATCTAAGGCACTTTAGATCCTCACTGATGTGGACACCCAGGTACTTGAAGCTGCTCACCCTGTCTACTTCGGGCCCCCAGATGAACAGTGGCTGATGAGATCTCCTCTCCTTCCTCATGTCCACTATCATCTCCTTCGTCTTGTCCATGTTGAGGCTGAGATTATTGTCCTTGCACCAAGACACCAGACCGGCCACCTCCCTCCTGTAGGCTGCTTTGTCCCCACGGAAAGTGCCAACCTTAACATGTTCCCACACACCCAGATATGGCAGGGTGTCAACAGTGCTGCACTGTGTGAGACAATAGGTAAACATCTGCAAAGTCTTGAGTAGAAATCGTCATGTTATTTCCCTTCACTTTCCACTGGTTGCCTTTACTGGGTTAGGAACCCATACAGCTCAACTGCAGTTGAAAAGGACTTTGCAGGAGCATGAAGAAATAACTGAACTGAGACAAAATTGTGGTCTAAAAATGAGCTTTGCTAATCTACCTTTGGACAGTTCTTGGCTGACTGCTGCCAAGGATTTCCCCATTCTGGCAAACAAAGCTATTTCAGTTCTGCTCCCTTTCTCCACAACCCGTCTGTGCTAGGTGGGCTTTTCAAGCATGACTGCTATAAAGATGAAAAAAGAGAGAGACTGTTGAGGATGATCTTCATGTGTGTCTTTCTTCAATTCCTGCAAGAATATCAGCTTTGTGTTCAACTAAACAGGCCCAGGTTTCACACTAAGTAAATTGAGACTAGATTTTCATTATATCTCAATAAATATACTTTTTGTGACATTTTGTTTGGTGGTGTGCCTTGTGATTTTTATAATGTAAAATATGTGCCGTGGCTCAAAAGGTTGGGAAACACTGGGCTTGAGCATAAGCAGAAAGCCCAGTAGGCTACAAAGTGCACTTTGAGGTTTCTGCTGGGGCCGGAAGTTGTGTGTAACGTGCAGCTGTGTGAGCCGGGCAGTGTGTGACTCCTCTGTGCCACGTTTCACTTAATGACGTAATCTTCCTAAGGTCTGACAGGTCGCCGCTGCAGTAACGTTAACGACACTCAGAGACAGAGAGAGCTGCGCTGGTTAGTCACACGTTTAACACACATTTGATTGTTTTTTCTCAGTAGATTTACGGCTGTAGAAAGAGTTGACGTTCTGTTTTTAGACACTAGCCATCTGTTAGTCCTGACTCGGCTACGCAACTGTCTAATGTTAGCTTTTTCCTGGTTGGAGCTACAGCCATTTTGGATTTTTCCAGAGAAACAACTAGCCGGCCGTGCTTTGGGGAGCAGAGTAAGCTAACGCTAGCCGCTGTTCATATTTCCATAACATTGCGGTTTATCTGCAGACAAGAAAAATAGACCTTTTTCAAGAGGGGACACGCCATACATCGAGTCAACAATGAATCCAGAATAGTAAGTATCATACTGAACAACGATGTGTTACATTTTAGACACCTAAGCAAGATTAGCTGCCTCTGTGCTAATAAGTAAAGTTAGCATTGGCTAATAACTTAACATTGGCAGCTGAGGTAAGTTAGCGGCTAACATCAGCAGACATACATGTCCACGTGTCAGCCTCAAATACTGTGGTTATTCTTAAGGGATATTGGTGGAGTGATATTAAACAGCAGGCGATATATGGTTATTTATAAAACAGAGTGTTTGTTTTGGCCTTATAAACGTAACATTAGCTAGTTATCCAGCTGTTGGGTCCAACGACAGCAGCTTCCCTCACTCCGGGTTCATTTCTCCGGTTAAGCTGACTGTTTACTGAGGGCTAACAGTTTCATAAGCCGACTGTTTACTGAGGGCTAACAGTTTCATTTAGCTAGCAGGCACTTTTGGCAGCAACATCGAGCCTTAACTCATTAAATAAATAAAACCATAATGACTTGACATTTAGAGGTGCCCCTCATGCTATTTGTAGATTGACGACACCTATAACTCGCTGGTTATACTTGGCAGACTTTAGTCCAACCGTCAGTTTCGGTCTGTGTCATTTGGACTTAGCCTGCCTGTCTGTCCCTGGTACTGTTAGCACACAGACACTGTTCCTGTCGTGGTCTATGTGCAGGTACGTGGTTTTAGGCTTTACCTGGCTGGTTGATTATGGCTTACTTTTCAGTCAGATGGTCTAGTTACTCAGTGCTGAAGCAGTCATGTGTAGGTCACATGCCACAGGACAAGCCCTCAGTTTCCACACAGCAGTGTTAAGCAATCACTTGCTTCAGCTTTCAGAAATGTTCACAATTGCAAACAAGCAATTATTGGACTCCAGGAATTTCCAAATTGCACAGTTTGACACATCACTGATGAATTTGGATTTTCTATTGGACACCTTGGTGCACCGATACAGAATTGGACTTGGCAGATTTGAGGTCAGAGGAACATGCTGTATTGAGTAAAGTAACAAAGTGGACTCTACCTAGTTCGAACCCCAGATTTTTCATACTTGTGTTTTTGGTCAGATTGGTATCATTGTCAGAATTGTGTTGAGAAACTTGTCAGTCTTTCATATGGATGATCATTGTCCACAGTTACAGGCTTAATGAACAGGGAATAACTGGATTTTATTTCTGTGACCAGGAGAGAAACAGAGATGGTTCTGGGAGGCAGGATGCTACTTAGACTACCAGGCTCAGCTGATGTGTGAGAAACTGCATTCCCTCCACTAATGATGCTGATGGAATAAGAATAGATTTGCTGCCAAGTGCCAATTACTAGTTATACTACAATACTGTTAATTTGAGGTTATTATAGAAAACAGGCATGGTTCATCATTCGGCTTTGTGTGGGTAAGTTTGCTTGCTGGGATTTATTTGTAATGGGACACCAACATCCCACTCCTGCCTGGAGGTAGTACGTTGCCCTTTCTACAACTTGTGTCTTTGCTCAGTGGTTCACACATTGTGATATGCAGGAGGAGTCCTTACAAATAAAGAAAAGTGTACTGTTGGTTATTTTGCCAGGCTGCTGAATCTCTGCTTAGGCTTCTTATTAGTCTTACTTTGGTCCCGGTAAGGATCCTTAGAAAAATAAAACAGAAGCAGAAAAAGACTGAAGACTAGCAGGTCTTTGACAGAGCAGTCTGTTTGACGTTTCTATAGCTACACACACAGGCATTGTGTGTGTTTTGGGAAGTGAGAGATTATTATTATATTTCTTTATATGGGTGCGAGTGTAATTTAGACCTGTATATTGTCTACAGGCGGCCTCGACCAACCTTGTTGCATGATATTGTTATGGGATGATTAGTGCTGTTGCAGAATGACGTAAAGTCAGTATGCGAGTCGTCCTATAGCTCAGCAGTACTATTTGAAAGTGAAACCTGAGCATCTATCATTGTGGCCTATAACGACAGACTACATAATCCCAGGAACTGAAAGTTCCTCCACTCTGTCCAGGAGAAGTTCCTACTCAGTAGTCGGAACAGTTTGTACTGTTATATAAGCCACAGATGCATAATGAGGAGATAGGTAACGGGTCACCCTCCTCTTCTATATAGTACCCTCAGGCTGAAAGAGACTAGAAACAGCTACAAACATGCAGTAATGTTTTGCATATCTTTGCAGTTGTTTTGCCTATTTGTGGCTGTGTTGCAGTCAGTGTTCCTGCTGCCTCTGTCTGTGGTCATTTAGCCTCTCTTCCGGGATCTTGTGCCTATTCTGAAATGTGGTCTGTAAACACGAATCGCTGAATTGAAGACATGGAGTAGAGAAGGTACAGCATGGTGCTGAGAAACAATGAATTACTCCTTTGTGCTGTTTGTCCAGGGCCTTCCACTTGGCTTCACATGTTCAGCCCCTTCCTGAACTTCCTTCTGAAAATTGTCTCAAATAATTCCTTTCCTTATAAAATGTAAACCTTTCAGGTACTTTGTCACAGTGTTGAACTGAAATTGACATTAAATGTAGGATGTTTTACAAGTAAATGTCCCATCACTACTATGAATTAGCAGTGTCACCCTGTTTCTAAGCCTTACAATGGGCGATCTGTAACTCGCTCACTTGGTTGTCCATTTCGTACTATTCTCTAACTAGTGTTTTTACTCTCCTGTCACAGTGACTATTTATTCAAGCTGCTCCTGATTGGTGACTCTGGTGTTGGGAAGTCTTGCCTCCTTCTCCGATTTGCTGTAAGTTTTCCCCCCAAATAGCACAAACACCATGGTTTTATATGAACTCCCTTGAGCAGAAGTCAGTCATTTTCTATTGTAAGTTTGACAATGCAGTGATTTTATTGTTGGACAACAATGCATCTTAGCTGTCTTAACTTATTTACTTAAATATAAAAGAGAGTTATTGTAAACGGGACATGATTCCTACGTGTGTCTGTAATTTATATTTTTGCAATCATTACATTGCCTGATTCAGTGAGCCAGTACACAGGCCAGAGACACCAGCTGTGCTGTGAGATCAGCTATACTGACATCTAAAATGTGGTGTGAAATGAAGTTACCCCTCTCTGGCTGTCTTCAGTGTTGTCACACACAAACACACAACTGTTGTTTGTTTGAAGGTGTTACAGTTAAGAGCAGACAAGAGGTTTATGTTTAGGTTCATTTTAGTAATGATCCCATTGTTTGTTCTGTTTTCTTAAAGGCGACATATATTGCTCAAGAATTGTGATCTCAGATCTGAGTGGGGGGGGGATCACGATTCATATTTTACCCAGAATTGTGCGGCCCTGCTGTATAGTGAACAGGGTGTGCGATCAGTCTAATGTTGACTCTGTTTCTCTGCAGGATGACACGTACACAGAAAGTTACATTAGCACTATTGGTGTGGACTTCAAAATACGAACCATAGAGCTAGATGGGAAAACCATTAAACTTCAGATTGTAAGTAACCTGTTGCATATTAGTGAACATAGTTCTGTCCTCTGGACGTGTACAACTCAAAACATTCATGTTAATGATTATGTTCATTAGCATTTCGTTTTTTAAAATGACTTGACTAATCATTTGTTTATTAAACATTAAAAAAACATCAGAAATACCCTTCACAACGTTGCAGAGCCAGATGTGATGTCTTCAGATGTTTACTTCGACCATAAATCCAATTTTATCAGTAAAAAGGAGTAAGAATGCTGACCATAAATCCAATTTGCCCAAATTGGTTTTATCAGTAAAAAGGAGTAAGAATGCAAAGAGTTAAATGAGATGATGTGTGAGCAGTTCATTAAGTTGATGGTGAAATTCATCCCACTAAGATTTCAGAGTCTTACGAGAATGAAGTTCTGTTAGGAAGCACTAAATCAAGTCACATGTATAGCCAGTACTGGTGAAAATGAATCAAAGGTTTTTTTAAGGTGTGTTCCTTTTGTCTTGGTTGTGACAAATCCAATCATCAACCATATCCTTGGTTTTCCCTTGACAGTGGGATACGGCGGGTCAGGAGAGGTTTCGTACAATCACATCCAGCTACTACAGAGGCGCTCATGGTATCATTGTAGTGTACGATGTCACAGACCAGGTCAGTGTAACACCGTGCTGTTCATACTTATCACAGCTCATATACTAGGAGATGAGTGTTTGCCTTAAAAAGACAATGTGTTTATTGGATGTGTGAGCTCTGAAGGAGCAGGTCTGTAAAATAGTTTTCTTTTGCCACCCAGGGGCACTACAGGCACGGTTTATCTTTGATTTAGATTAGATTCAACTTTATTGTCATTACCCATGTACAAGTACAAGGCAACGAAATGCAGTTTAGCATCTAACCAGAAGTGCAGAGTGCACAGTATCTACAGTCAGTACAGTCAGAACTAATTTACTGATGGATATGTACAACTGATATTTACAGTGAGATATGTAGGGTAAGATGTGAATCTCAGCCAAATTCATTATATTTCAGCAAATCCCATGTCTGTGTCTCCCCATAGAATTCCATTCAGTATTTAACATTCACTTTTATCATATTGGAGGACATCAGTACACTGCTGTACTGGCTGTAGTTATTATTTAGAGATCACTCTCTTCAACAGACATGTGAGGAAGAGGCTTCACTTGTCTTCATTATGCTTGAAGTTTTCCCAAATTGGAACTTTTCTAGCACTTGACCTGTGAATGGATCCATAGCTTCTGTGTAGTGGTCAAATTTCATAAATCATATTTAATAATCACTCGTCACAGTGCTTTCTCTTGTATCATGTTGTCTTAGTTCTGACTTTGTCAGAAGAGTCAGTGCACACAGGTCTTAAAACACATCCATATTGCATTAAGTCTTAAATTCTGCTCTGTAAAGACGGCTGAGGTCCTGTAGTAGAGGAAGACTAATGTTTGTCTGTTTTCCTTTTTCAGGAGTCCTTCAACAATGTCAAACAGTGGCTACAGGAGATTGACCGCTATGCCAGTGAAAATGTAAACAAGCTGCTGGTTGGGAACAAGTGTGACCTGACAACAAAGAAGGTGGTGGATTACACAACAGCAAAGGTAATAATGAACCTGGGTATTTACTGCTGCTCACACAAGCTGCTATGTATGTATAGCATCGTGGCCAAAAATATTGACTTCCCTGCAATAATTCTGTCCAGTCCATTTTTGGGTTTTTTGTGTTGTTCCAATGCAAACAAAAGAAATGACCGGTATGACTTTTTGTGTACCAGCTACGTATGTCTCATCTGCTTATTGGTGCTTTTCTTTGCACTGAGTCAAAAATAAAAAGTAAAGAACCTCACTGCAAAGCACCATGTGTAAACCCCTGTCCTCTGTCTCTGCTCTGTGTCCAGGAGTTTGCAGACTCTCTAGGCATCCCCTTTTTGGAAACTAGTGCCAAGAACGCTACCAATGTGGAGCAGGCCTTCATGACCATGGCTGCTGAAATCAAGAAGAGGATGGGCCCTGGGGCCACAGCCGGAGGAGGGGAGAAGTCCAATGTGAAGCTGACCCCCGGCACTACTGTCAAGCCTTCATCAGGAGGGTGCTGCTGAGAAAGAAACCACTTCCACTTTGACTCCAGCTTACCCTGCGGGCCTGTCGGCCCGGCTGTCATCCTCCTGTAAACTCCACTGTGTACCTGCAAAGTTCCCTTAAAACAGACAGGACAGGAAAGGCACGAGTCACATGTGTTGCCTGTATTTGTACTGTACATAGTGTAGCCGCACTACCAAAAACAAATCGAGCATCCTTCTTGATATACCCCCCATTAGACCTCAGAGACGACTTTATTTGGCCCTCTGAAAGCAGGTTCATGAGAGGAGTGTGTGTTTCTTTACATTCCTACAGCAGGGGTGGCAAATGAATCAGTTTCTTTCAGGTTTCTGTTTGTATGGACCTCTTCTGTTTCTCATTTCCCTGTGATTATGTTGCTCTTTGCATCAGAATGTGTCTGTCAGTCTGTCCCCATTTGAAGATTGTTTTTTTTTTTATTAATTGTCTCAACCTCTGCACAGCAGTGTCTCACTGTCCAGCATCTAAAATCTAGTGCAACAGTATATGTACATAAACATTGTGTGTATAAATATATATATGTAAGATCTGATTTACCAGTTCTGTAGTGTTCAGTTGGGAAAGTCTTGACTCTTTCTCTCTGCATTAAATTTGTGGCTAAAGACAATTGTAAGTTTGTTGCTCAACATGTAACACTTCAACTGAAAATAAATATTATACTACCCGACTGTATAGAATGTGAGGAACTGTCTTTGTAAACCTGTTTGTTTATTCTGCATTCATTTGGCACATACTGTGCCATTTAATGGGGTCTGTTTGCAAATTTCTGTAATCTCAGTCGCATATACTCAAGCATAACATTATGACCACCTGTACATCTGTGCACTTCAATGCAACACTTCTGCCTTAACATTTGTGTTTATGAAGCTCAAAATGTTTGTTTTTGCTGAGATTGTCAAATGTATAAATTCAATTATATGTTCATTACTGAGGTCGTAGTTAAAGGTGGTGTTCAATGGTCTTATACTTGTAAAAGCGTTGTACAGCACACACAAAGCGCTTTCACATTATTCACCCATTTGCACTCCCAAACTAGTGACATCACCGGGAGCAAAGTGTCTTGCTCAAGGACACTTCGACACGTTGACTGGACAAGCCAGGAATCGAACCACTAATCCTCTGGTTAGGAAACGACCCGCTCTACCTCCTGAGCCACAGTGTTGTACTGGACTACGTGATATTCAGAGGTGTCTGTATATTTTTGTCCTGCCCATTGACATACATGAGAGGGTCAGAATATTAAAACTAAAACCAAAAACAAATATTTTGAGCTTCATAAACACAAATGTTAAGGCAGAAGTGTTTCACTGAAGTGAATACAGATGTACAGGTGGTCATAATGTTATGCCTGGTCGGTGTATATAAAATCCAATGTCCTCTTCTTTTCATAATAAAGGAATACAATGTCCTCTTCTTTTCATAATAAAGGGAACTACATTCAGTTTGAACAGAACTTTGGGACCAGTGTTTGCTGTTTGGGTTGTGCTCTGTTGTACAACTGCGTATGAAGATCATGTCACAACACAGACGTGTATTTGGACAAGCCACGTCATCCTAAGCTTTCAGAGTGTGGCCTGCTAAACGCAAGTTCCTCCTGCTGATCTACATACAGTAACTGACCAGCTTGAATGACTGCAGAGAGGAAACATCTGAGCCAGCACTTCTCTAAACCACATCAAATATTGCACACAACACGTCTCCATCCGACTTTACAGAACAAGTGTTATTCTCACCCACTGTTTCACAGCTGTAGGAGAAGGTTACCTTGAGCAGCAACAGAACCAGGCTGGTCCAATAATGCAACAAACCACACAGCTGACACCAACATCAGAGATAATGAGTTCTTTGCATTTCCCTTAACCAAAAACACTGACCCTGGTACCCATAACCACCAAGAGTCCTTGATTTGTGGTCTGCAGACAATCCTAAAATTAAACACCAGCTCACCCTCAAAGACCAGAGAAATTATTACCAGCAGCTCCTAGTGAGAACCAAGAAGACGACATAAAAGACAACAGAAGAGGATGGACTGGACAACAACTGAAACACAGAGGGACAAGTCAGCACGGAGAACAAGAAGGGCTGAAGGAAAAAACAAACAACAAAGGAGAACGGAGCCAAGAAGGTCCTCAGAAACCTCACCATCTTCTGAGTAAACTCTACCCTCTGTGCATCCAAAGACTCTGACCTACTCATTCATTGCCGTTCAGCTCCATATTCTTCAGGACTTCGGTCATTTAACCTTAAATCTACATCATAAGAAAATGACTCCCTAGGGCTTTTCTCATAAAAACCTAGCTTAGACCCTGGTGCTATGCTAATTGATGTCATACCTCCAGATTACTTAACTGAAATCTGATCAGATTACTTCTGCAGGCCCCAGGAGATAAAGGTGTATTATACAGTAGGTGCACAAACATCCACAGTGGAACAAAGTGTATATTAGAACTGGTCTAGTCTGTCACAGTGGCTGATCTCATTTTGTTCTGTTCAGTAATTCGAGATGAAGACTGGCACAGAGGCTGACCAGCAGAAACAGCTCGAGTCCTGTCGGTGAAGGGAGGCATGGTTATTCAAGTAGTGGTGGATACCACGGGAGACTACATAGGAACATGAGCTTAGTGAGGCATGAAGATCACAGAGAGAACAGCCTAATATTTCTAATGCTATTAAATTCTTTTCTGCTGCTCTTTTCTAATCATGATTTATGATGTGCACGGTGAACAATGCTTCACTTCTTTCAAAGCTGAATTCAAAAAGTGTTGTCTTGTGCTTTGTTCACATAAGATCAGGACAACTAAACCAACAAGTACACAAAACATTAGGACAGACGCTGTCAGTAAACAGCTGGCCTTCTTCTGGAGCAGACGACCGCACCAAGCAGGCATTCACAGTTAAACACTACAGTTCCTGTCATAACAATAGGGTTCTGATTAAAAATCACTAAATAAAACTTGACCTATCCATTTATTACAGTGAGCATCTCTCCTCTTTATCCCCACCCCCTTCTCTGTGCATTTCTATGTCACCATTGCATGGCCTCTCTCTCTCTCTCTCTCTCCCTGTACCTTTCAGCAGGTATCCCTGGCTGCAGAGCTGTATGTTTCTGATGAGCAGTCACAGATCCCACTAAACTGTTCAGTGTCTATTTGTTGTCCTGATGCTTTTCTCTCTCCTCTATCCACTCACTACAACCAGTCGAGGCAGAAGGCTGCCTACCAGGAGCCGGGGTTTGTCGGAGGTTTCTGCCATTAAAGGCAGTTCCTCTTCACTGTTGCTAAGTGCTTGCTCAAGGGGGATTTGTTCAATCCACAGGTTTTCAGTGATGCTGTAACTGAAAGAGGCGACAGGAAACTTCCTCAAGAACCATGTAAGAATCCAAAACAAACAGCAGGGGGCCTGACACAGTCCTTAGAGGCAACTGGAATACAAGTCCACATCTACACAGTCAAGCGTTGTCTGCACAAATCTAGATTGTTTGGGAGAAAAGCACACAGGAAGTCATCACTTACAACTAGACACAAGGCAGCAGGCTTGGAGTTTGCTAAGGCGCAAGATTATGGGGTGTGATGAGACCAAAGTTGAAATATTTGATCATAATGTGGACAGGAACATGTGGTGAGAGAAACTCGGCCTACGAGGAGAGGAACACCACTCCCACAGTTAAACATGGTGGAGGCTCGCTGATGTTTTGTGGTGTGTCTGTCTGCATCAGGCACTAGAGCTCTGCATAAAGTGGAAGGAAGAATAAAATCTTTTGACATTGAGCTGTATTCAAAGCAAAGCCTCCTACTGTCAGTCAGACAGCTAAAAATGAAGAGGCAGTGGATCCTTCAACAAGACAATGATCCAAAGAACAGAGCAAAGTCAACTCAGGAATGGTTTAAAAAGAGTAAGGTGAATGTTTTACCATGGCCTTCCCAGTCTCCAAGTATCACTGAAAACCTGTGGATCGACCTGAAGAGGTTCTGTACGTAGCAGACAACCAAGAAATCTGATGGATTTGGAACAAGTTTCCCATGTAGAATGGGCTAAAATTACATCTGAAAGGATCAAAATACTGCTCAGAGGGCACCCAGAGAGGTTGGAGGATGTTAGGGAGGACATATAAAGGATTAGAGAACATTTCATAAAGGGGGACACAAACTTTTGCATTAATATGATTTTCATTATTTTACTATAGCTTTCTTTTTATACACTCCCTGACCATTTTTGTTGCTTCTGTTGATGAAAAGTTGTACTAGCTGATTGTGCATTCATTATGATGTTGAGGAGAAAACAAATTCACTCTTTTTGACATTTCAGAGTCAGGGGATGCAGTCTTCTGCACTCAACTGTATCTGTCATGCAAAATTAAATGTGAAACAAAAAGGTAACATCTTAAAAAGGTCAACTGTTACTCCATTAAAATGGTTTCTAATTCACTCAACAAGAAACACCTACAACTCTAAAAGGCATGTTTGAAGGCAACATATTAAACCTGAACCTGCCTAAAAAACTGTTGTTTACAGCAACTGCATTATGGTTAGTGACTGAATAACCTGTGAAGCATAGGCATAACGACAACCGGCAGAAATGAGCTCATCTGGAAACGAGTAGCCCTTCCATGTCAAGGAGCCATCATGTCAGTGATTAATATATCACTGAATTAATCAGTAATAGGCTATTGACAGAATTAAGTGAAAGGATTTTATTATTTATATATATATTATATAGGAACAGCTAAGATAGTGGGCAGGACCCTCAAGCTCCCAGGCCTCTGGTAGAGGACCCGAGCTTGAAGGAAGGAATACAAGACCACCCCAAAGTGGGGGGTGAGTGGGGAAATTTTTTTTTTTTAATACACACAAACGTGTGCGTGTGATATCTACGGACACATGCACACAACTGCACAAATCCAAAGCCTCACACCATTTTAATAGAGATGCTGCCACACCCATTAATTGAATAGAATTTGCCCTTCACCTTAAACAGCTAATATAATGCATCACAAGACTAAAACCCTGGAAATAAGCCATTGTTGTTGCACAGTCTGTGCCCCTCTGCACATTTTTGCCTGACTTTTTTTATAGCACTTTTAGAACTGTCCCACATTACGCAAATCACACTGTCCCACTTTAGGAAACCGTTCCTAAAATGGGACAGTGGAAAACTTGACTGGAGTAAGTATATTTACACCATATTATAATACTTTTGATGAACAGACACATGCTGATAGAAACTAACAGGACTGTTTTATTTACAAGAAACCATAACCTTAACATCAAACTTGTCAAAATGCTGTCACTGACCTTTGGGTGGTCTTCAGAAGAGGGCTTCCACTATGAAGATTACTGCAGCTTAATCTGTGACTGGACATTTGACAAGTCATGGCTTTGATAACCTGACATCGCAGCTTGTGCTAAGCCATGGTTTCACTGACTTTCATGTTTCAAAGTGCACTTTAAGGCCATGTGTGTACGTTGGATAACCTGTCCTGTACTGGGTGTATTACATTAACTCTAAGAAAATGAGGTTGTGAAAATTGTGACCATAGTACCAGCAGCCATTTTCTACAGTTCAGTACATGATGTCATACGACTGTAACTGTGATCGAACTCAAAGAAACAGATGACTGGAGAGCATTGCAGACTGGACACAGCTGTTCATGTCCTCAAACACTGATCCAGATGTCTGACATCACATTGCAAGTGCAAAACTGTCCTTTTTCCAAAAAAAAAAAAGATGTCAGATATTCATTTGATTCACAAAATGATGCATTCATAAAGTAAAATATAAAAACAGAGTGAATTAGTCTTTAAATGATGACTTGATAATTCAGTAGCAAAACCAATAGTGAACAGGCTTTGGAAAGTTATTGAGGCCACACACACACACCTCCTGGACACATGTATTTGGGTGTATTGTGCATTACGAGGAGGGCAGCCAACTGCTGTCAAGGCCAGCTGAGACAGGATGCAGCTCCGATTAGGACGACAGTCATGGGATGATGCCGATGCCGTTATATCCAATAGAAACACTGCAGGTTCAAATCAACTTAATGATGCTTTCTTGGCTGATGGTAGCAGGGGCAGTAAAGAGAAGTCACAGTACAGCTGTTGTAGGCACAGACTCAATCACAGCAGGAACCATGTCCACAGCTTCAGCCAAGCACAGCCAGTGGCTGAACGCTGGCACAGCTCTGCCTTTTGAAAGGACAAAGCCTTTCACATAATCTCTCCTCTCTGTAGTATCTGCAAACTGGCAGCGTATTAGAATGAGAATGGACCAACACATTGTCATCATTCCACTGCTAAAGGGAACCATGCCATACTCGTACTGTACCAAGGTTTACGATTCCATTGTTTCAGAAATGAACTGTGCTGAGAATCGTGAAGCAGGTCCCAGAGCGTGCTACTCCACCCCCATCCAGAGAGAGAACTTGAGCAACAGGAAGGGTCTCAGCCAAAGAAAGAAGGAAGAAGGAAATGGCAGCAGATTCTGATGAAGTAAAAGGAAGTTAATACAACAAAGTTTGTCAAATCCATGTTCGCTCTGTTGATATCTGTTCTGTGCAATGGAAACACAAACATTACTGGCCGGGACCAGCTGGCTCGAGTACGGGACGGTTCTTGGTGGCAGTGGAAAGACGGAATAACTTTCCTATGGAAACGCAAATATAGTATAACATAATATTTAAAAAATACAGCTTAAGGTGGCAGGAAGTAGAGCAATCTGTACTGAAAATGAAAGCAATCCCAAACTGAAAAGTGTGACGGTAAACACAGACACAGGAGACTAATTTTGAGATGAAAGACAGTTACATTACGAGGCCTGTCCAGGATTCATTTCTAACAATCAATTATTCATTTAAACAAAGAATCAGGTAATGAAAATATTTCTGTAATAAGCCAATTAATGACCTCTGTACTATTACTCTTGACATCTGGCTCTGTAACATTTTAATTTGCTTTTTAAATGACCTGCTCAGTCTGGATTTGGCTCATTTATTCGTACCTTTTTTCCAGAGAAGTATTGACATATTTTCAAACTAACCATTCTTCATGTCTGTTAAAGAGCCCATGACAGGCTTTTCCTACAATTTGAGGTGTTGCCATTGTCAGTTACGTAGCTTATTTATCAATGTTTTTTGTTCCCCTGTCAACGTGTGTTAACCCTGTTCAAAAGTTGGTTTCATGTAGCGCCCCGCTCAGTGGCTGTGGATAATGTTAGGATTCAGGTTAGAGGATATGCATCTCGATGGCGAAACAGATTGGCAAAACACCGGCACCCGGACATGCGCGCGCTCATGAACTAGCCTGTTTGTAGGAAGAGGCTCTCTGGTTTTATCATTCTGAAATAATCACAGACTATCTGGAGTTATGAGGGGTGCCAAGCTGATCTAGAGGTACCCAAGATTAAACAGTAAATGGGTGGAAATGAGCAAAATGAGCAGCCATGGGGACTTTAAGTGTTTTGGCTACAGCCTCTGTAATTGCTTGACAGACTATTAATGTAAATTGCAAGTGGTCAGAGGAAGGTGAAGGATTAGAGAACAACACAGTGACAAAGCATAAATAGAAAAAGCAGTGCATAAGTAAGGCATACTGTAACAGAAACATCCTGTGGTGCTTCAAACAGAGTTTTAAAGGCACTTCGAGGCCCAGTATTGTTCGGTGTGATCAGTTCACACTGTCTGCAGTGTTCCCTTCATAAAGATCTACTTCATACATAGCCTACTGATACCAACTGATACATTATGCTAACATGTTCAAAAAAGGTTGTGCTTTTTATGATTCATAAATAAGAGCCTTGTGTTAAGAAGAAAGAAGTGATCCAAGTCATATTCTTGTACACACATTTGTGTTCCGCAGTCTGTTCACAAAGTGGATCCTGGGAAAACCACAGGGCGCGGGTCCTCCTCTCGGGTCCTCCCTGCTGGACTGGACTGAGTCAGGCTGTCCATGGCAGGCAGAACGAAGGAGAACAGGTCATCAGTGTGGCTCTGCAGAGCTCCAGACTGCCTCTCAATCAGCAGCAGGACATCTCTTAAAACTAGAAACCAGCAGACAGAACACAAAACACATTTAGTGGAAAAAATAAAGAAATCACAAGATGATGCTTCAGTTTTTATTTGACATTTTGTGGATAATGTTGCTTGTGACAGACTGACGTGGAGACATAGTGTTGATGCAGTTGAGGAGAAGCTTCCCAGTGTGTAGAACACAGGAGGTCTGGGGCTGATGGCTGCTCACGTCTCTCTGAAGGCTCTGACAACAACACCATCACATTATACTGTCAGTAAAACACACGGGGCATCAAGTGAGTAACCAGAGTGTGTGTGAATAAAGTGCTGGTGACTCTGCCAACACTTGACCAAACGCAGTGAGAGGTGATTGTGCAGTTTCCCTTTCACCCTGGTCAACTGATTTTAACTGCTCAACAATCAACCAGTACAGCAACTTCAGCCTGGAACTGATCTCTTGAGTCCTGGTCCTTCTTTCAACATTCATGTAGACTGAGATGGAAAACTCAGCCAACTGATGGATTAGTCCACTGACAGCTTATCCAATCATTTCACTTTTTCTCTGGTTGAAGCTTCTCCACTGTGAGAGTTTACTGCCCAGCTCTGATTTCTATCCTTGTACTGAAGTCTGAGCCCACATTCAGACATGTGAGACTCAGTGTTCACGTGTCTCTCTATTTCAAAAATCACCTGTTTTCCATCCAGGGTAGGCAGAAGGCAAAATAAACACGTCACTGGCTGGTCATTGGGCGATTTCAGTTTGGATAAAACAGCTCCCCGACACAGAGAAAATACGGTGGATAAACAAAGCAGGATGGTTCGTGTCAACCTGGGAGGTTATGAGGGACGAAGTACAGGGTATAATGCTCCGTAGGTCCTTAGTGGAAACGCTTAGAAGAACGCTGCAGCCCAGTCCTTACCTGATACTCAGCCAGAGATGACTTCACACCGTCAGTGTCCACAGCGGGTACCGCCAGCAGCTCCATCTTCTCTAGCATTGTATATAGCTGCTGAATGAGCTGCTCCAGGTGTGAACAGAAGACCTGGAAGACAGCACACGGTGGTCACGTCACAATGTGCGCTGAAATAAAACTGCAGATTTCAGATCCATTCAGAGCACTGTATGTCACTACAGGTACAGAATTCCACTGTCTCATCCTGCCAGTTAGTGATGTACAGTCAGATTCTGGTATGGCAGGTCAGATCACGTCTCTACCTGGATGTGCTGCATCAGGGAGTTACATTGTTCCTCGTCATCCTGCCTGCTCTGGCTGCCAGGCAGGGCGGGGCCACACAGCTGCTCCACCAAAGCCTCCACCTCCCTGAGACTAGATAGACTCAGTCCCCCACCAACAGGCTCCACCCAGGCTCCAGAACCTCTGGTCACTGCCTCAGAGCCCTTATGAAAAGCTGCTGATGAACAAGAGGTGAATAGTGAGATCTAATTTTTACTGCTGCAAATGCTATGAACTAAGTTCTGTTCTCTCCCACTGCACTGGTATAGAAACAGAAGTCTCAAGGACATATCGCGGAACACGGATAAATCCAACCTGCATGGACAGAAACCACTAGAGAAGAAAAGAGAAAATCTGTTCTAACTTGGACCCTTTGAGAGTGTATCAGCCTAAAATCTGAACATCCATTTCATACCCGTACAACAGTTACCCATCTGTGCAGAGCTCCACTCCTCTCTGACCATATCAGCTTTTCCCTCCTCTGGGTTTTGACCGACACCCTCTGTGACTTCAGCCTCCTGTTTCTCAGGCAGGGTGGTGGAGGAGAGGACGGAGGTGGTGCCTGGCTCCAGAGATTCCCAGCTTGCAGCGACAGGTCGGCTCAGCAGGGCTGTCACCTCCTTCACCTGCACACAGAAATCAAAGTCTATAGCTGAGGGAACACTCACAAACACTGATCCACTTTCTATGTGTCCCTCCACCAGTGTCTGTACTTGTTAATGTTGTTAATGTGTTGTTTTCTAATGCCAGGTAAGTGCAGTCTACACCTCTGCTTCATCCAGCCATTATGTCTATCCATTTATACACTGAACAAAATTATAAAGTATAAGTACCAAGTCCATGAGTGTCCACAGTACTGACCTGTCTGGAGAGCAGATGCAGCTCCACCAGCTGCTCTGGAAGAGACCAGAACTCCTCATCCACCTCACCAAATGCACACCTGGACTGTGGAAAGACACTGGTGGTGCGGATAAAAGCAGTGGAGGTAGAGAAGGACAGTGCGTGGGGCTGATGACGGTGACCGACTCTCTTCAGTCCACCTCTGTGCTTACCGAGGTCCAAACTGTCCATGGACAAACCCACAGGCTTTGTTGGGGAAAGTGGGGTACTGGAGGGCAGACCATGTGAGGATCTGGTGATTGGTGGCAGGTCAGGTGACCTATGACCTGAACCAACAGGGGTTCTTTCTCTGGTCCTCCCGCTGCTGTCCACAGAAAAGTCCAACCCTGTCAGGATAGTGGAGCTACAAAGATGTTCCACTTCGATCCCTGAGTCCTGCAGGCTTGTTTGCAAAAGAGAGTCTTCCTGGAGTTCAGAACTGCCTGACCCACTAGTCACCTGTCCTGGTCTCAGAGGGTAGGTGTAGTCCAGTAAAGCCTGGTACTCCCTGTTTGGGTCCCAGCCTGCAGAGTGCCTGTCCAAAGATGGAGGCAAAGCTTTAGGGATGGCACAGGCCCAGTGGTTTGCCTGATAGAAAGACATGGGGTCTGTCTTTGAGTGTCCATAAGAGCATAGCTCCGTCTCCCCCCTGCCTCTGCCCTCATAACCCCCAAGCCTAAACTGAGCCTTGCCTGTCCTGGAATACTGTGAGGGAGTGATATAGGTGGGATGCGGGACAATGGAGGTTGTTTGTGACCTCAGGGGAGTGTTTAGTCTCTGGTCCTCCAAGGAGGAGCCTGGAAGGCTCAGGTGAGCTGATCTGCTGCCAGAGGAATGTAATCCATAAGTTGGTTCTTCATGACACATACTGGCCATGAGCTCTGAGAGAGCCAAGGATGAGCCAAAGTCTTCTGTAGAGGCTGAAGGAGGTGAGATGTGTCTGTGAGGGACCCTGGCGCTCTCTAGAGCCAGCTCCTCTCTTGATCTGGTCAGGTTCATCTGAGTATGTTCTGTTTTGCTAACACCTGACTGTTTCACCTACAAGGCAGAAAATGGACAGAATTAAACAATAATACTATAACACTGCCGGCTGTTAACGACTTGTGGGATCCATACATACAGTATTCTGTAGGTCTCCATTACATAAATGTTCTGTAATAACTCTATTAGGACATGACAAAAGGGTTACAAGTTTAGCATTTGGTCCACAAGAGGACTGCTGCCACTGCTGGAAACCAGCAAATGAGTTCAACAGTAATGATATGAAGCCTGAGGGAGACTCAAAGTGAATTCGCTTTGAGGCTATAGCTGTTGCCATCTTTGTTGTTTACAGTTACCATGGTTACAGTGGCCCATGGGTTATACTGCTAACTTTGGGCTTAGCTCAGGTTTTCTGGTACAACAAAGCTGGCTCACTTTTAATCAGGCTAGATTACATGGTAACTCCAGAGCAGGTTACTCAAGAGGATCAGCTCAAAACCTGTCAACAGCCTGAGCACTGACCAGTCAGATCACTGGAAAAACTGAACGATCATTCCTACAGGATTCTGACAGGGACAAAACAGTCTGCATCAGTGTGATAAATCATAAAGAGGAAGAGAGGTTTCTATATAGAGCAGTGAAATTACCGTGCTGGTTCTGCCTTCCCATAGCTCATTCTGATTTAAAGCAGTTTCTAACAAACCGAGGGAGTCTGCAGCCTCCACCGTGATCATGTGATTCCTGACCGAAGTCATGACTGCGTCGGTGCTTTTACAGGCTCCAATCACCACAGCTCACAACTACAGGAGGTTACTACTTATTCTCTTCTTGTTATGTGACCACGGCCTATTGTTTACAGTTTCCCCCAACATAATATCACTTTTTTGCACTGGTTTCTCACACTTGGAGTAATGTCACTTTTAATTAACAACTCCACCTCTTTCACATGAACACGCTCATAGACAACTAGGAAGACCCAGTGGATAATAGTCTTTGTGATACCAGCTATCTGGGAATTGGCTGAACTTGCTTCATGGCAAGGCCCCAGCTGTTGTTGACACATATCGTAAGGTTAGTGGAAAAGGCTACATGCTCCACAGACTCTACAGTATACTGTATAAAGGAGGAAGATGTGACAGCCCCTGAGAGGTCAAACCACTGTGGGTCGATCACCCCTGGTGGCTAGGGCAATCAATATACAGTAGGTCATAAACCCTGCTCCCTCCATGGTAGTAAGACAACCACGTCCTGATGTTCAGCCAATTTCTGTATCAAAACTCGAAGCAGTGTGCACCAATGTGCCCTAATAATGTACCAGAAAAGACAAAGCAACCCCAAAACAGAGCCTCGAAATACTGCAAATATCACCAGCGGCAGTGGCAGATGAGAAGGGTAAGCAAATGTAAAAGCTGGTTTTAAAAAGTTATACTGACAGCAGTGAAGTGCTTTAGAAAATAAAACGTAGCGAGCGGCTGCATAGCTGTCAGATGAGCACCAGCATGGAGCAGAAGAAGAAGTAGAGCCTGAGTTTTCTGACAGTGGCCTCGATATTCAGTCCGACTGTTATTGTAGTAGTTCAAGTAGTTTTTCGTCTTTTGCTAAAGAGCATGGCGGAATGCGACATCAACTTAATGTCTGTGTGGGTGTGTAAACTGGAGCCTTAAGTCATTTACACAATGCCATTCAGTTGAGTTGGTGGTATGGCAATATTTATAGGACCCACTTGGCCAGATTGCTGTTGTGTGACTTTTAAAGTTAATCAGAGGTCCCTCTGGGACTTGGGGTCATGGGTTAGGGTTAGGGTTAGTCCACATGTAAAATTGCCTTTACACTGACAAAATAAACACACATCTAAAATGGTCTGTAGTCACTGGGGTTTAAAACATGCAGTATCATTTCCTCAAGAAGACTTAATACTCTCCCTGCTCCTCACCTTCTCCGTCTCCTTCTGTGGATTTGTTGTCTTTAGCAGAGATGCATGGTGTTCTGCAGAGAACAGAGGCTTTCTGATTGCATACTGTCTGTCTGTCAGGTACCTGGAGGTAGGTGCCAGAGTAACACTTTTTTGCAGCCCTCCTTTGTCTCTCTCCATCATGCCTCTATCACTGTCCTTGGTTGTCAGGCTCAAGCATCCTCAGCTGTGATCAAACCCCTAGAAAGTCCTCCACCGCTGACTGCATCCCTTGGCTTCCATTGGATACACAAAATGTAGGAATGTCCTGTCAGCTAAAGAAACATAACATTATAACGTTCAGTGTTATATGAGACTGACTTTTTGAAGAAAGGTTAATATGGCTGATTTTTTAATACCGTAATTAATACAGTATTTATTGATTATTGATTCTAATGGTTGTACTCATGCACCTTGGGTGTCCTGCTACGTAGTGGCAGAGGAATCTTTCCAGTTCTGTTCCAGCAAATGTCATGTTGCTGAGTTGAAGTACACAGGAGCACTGTAATGACACAAGAAAGAAATGTATAAAGTAACACAAGTATCTGAGGAGTAAAAAAAAAAAAAAACATTGCCGTCCACATGAATGCCACAACAATACAAGTGAAATATAAAGTAGATGAGCAATAACACAAATCTAAATAGGCAGTAAAATCACAAATCTAAGGCACTTTAAAGCAGGAAGTGAAAGATGGAAAAGCAGACCTGGCCTGATAAAACCGCCCTGGCCCATAAATCAGCCATTATTATATTATTTCACATTAGGACTGTTGACTAAGCTGGCTGCCCAGTAACAGTAAATGTCAATAGAGATGTCACAAAGGGTGTCTTCATTACACAGTGTGTCCACCAGACAGCGCAGACAAGCTGATTTTTTAAAATGTGCTGCCTTGGTCACAAAACAAGACGGTTCTTTACTAATCCTCCAGGGGGAGATCTTATTGCTACAGCAGACAAAAAGACCACATTATAAAACAAGTCTATATAAAAATACACATACATAATAAATGGGACACATAATAGTACACTCAGTGCAAAACACTGCCAGTAGTGCAAATAATAACTAGTACTAATGAAGATGACTATACAGTCTTACTGCATGCAGTACGGAGGACCTGTGAAACTGCTCCTTTGAACAATGCAGGTGTTTCAGTCTGTTACTAAAAGAACGTTTTAAATCCCTCAGTGTGGATGAGTGGCATTGTAGTGATCACCCTCTTCTCCCCTACAACCTCCACCAAGTCCAGCGGGGAGCCTAGGACCGAGCTGGCACATTCCTGACAAGTTTGTGTTTGGCCCTCCCTGTGAACACCCAACCTCCATTTATCACTCAGATACCTGTATGATTCTACAGTTTTGATATCAACTCCCTGACGGTGTACGTCTCCTACAAAAATACCCCCATCTCCTTGGTTTTACTAGCATTGAGGTAGAGGCAGTGCTTTCTGCACCAGACGGTAAAGTTCTGAAAGAGCCCTCTGTATTCTTAAAGACCCAACCAACAATGGCTGTATCGTCAGAGATTTTCTGAAGAAGACAGCTACCGGTGTTGTATTTAAAGTCAACAGTGCACAGAGTGAACGAAAACAGAGACAGCATAGTCCACTGTGGGGCACTAGTCCTGCAAATCACCACATCAGACACACAGTCATGTAGGCTCACATACCATGGCCTGTTGGTGGGGTAGACCATGACCCACATGGACAGATGACAGTCTACATCTGCTGTCTCCATCTCTATCCTCAGCAGTGCTGGCTGAATACAGCTGAAACCAAAAATCTGTACTTTGCTGGCTCCTCAAGATGTACAAATGACCTGTGCAGCAATGTTCCACCCCTGTGGCTAGCTCGTAAACCAACAAGGCAAAGTGTTATCCACACACCTAAGTGGCACATACTGTACATATATGCATTTGCTTAGTGACTGGAAGGTCTCTACCTTTTGCTGTGGGATCACTAAGCAGCAGGCATCCAGTTGGGTCTGAGCAGGGTAATGTGTTGCTTCTCACCTGACTGGTCCCATTACGAGTGCATGCTAAGACCTGCCTGTGCTCACTGCACAAGAAGGACAAATACAGTGTGTCCAGTCATGGATACATCATGTGGGCACTCGCACAGCACTGTCCAGGGAGGGACTGGAGGGACGGTTAGTTCCAACTTGAGTCCTCCACATGCCATGCACAGACGTTTGACTTGCACAACTAGGCACTTGCTATGAGTAAACATAATGGTGAGTTTAAATCACAGCACATTAGAAACATAAACCGGTGCATCGCTGCTGTTCTTTTAATCTGGACTGGTGTCAGTCAGAGCAACAGACCACAGGATGATCTGAGTTTCATTTGCTAGTCTTTTGAAAACTGGGTCTACATTTGATTTGGTGCTAAATGTGAGGCTGTGAACTATGGTCCAAACGCCAGTAAAGCTGTATGCACCAACAACCTGCTGTGGCAGAGTACATGTCAACCCTGTGCCAGCACCGGGACATCCACTGTCCTTTACTGTCCATCAACACAGAGCAGCCACACAGCTGAGTTAAGTCCATGTGAGTTCTTCCTCATGTGTTCAGTCATATATGTCAAACAGAGTAGGACAGTGGAGACAACATGGCAGCAGGTATAAACACAAAGGGACGGGTCAACCTGCTGCTAGGCTTCAGAGCCCAGCCTGTGTTTACTCCTCATTCACACCAACACATGATGATGGCAAACATTTAACCGACTGAGTAAAACCTGAAACCCACACGAAGCAGCAGCCAGAGCCCCGGTTTGAGATGTCACTACAACGTGCCTGTTAAATGCATTTCCAATTCTGTGTGTCCATGTTTATCGGCAAACCTACGGTAACGTTAGACAACTAGAGCTTTTACAACTGTTCTTCTTGTAAATCCGACATCGTTACTAGCCACAGAGCTTGACTTCGTTTTCAGCAGATCTGTCATTTCAGGTTTTTAACAATGTTCCAACGCCCACTACTGTGTCTGATGGGCGGAAGTCAGCCCATCAGACGTTCACCGAACATTACCACGACAAAACACAACATCCAGTGTAGGCTCGATGTTTAACTTACCACATTTAGTACCGAAGTTTAGCTCGGAGCAACGAGCTGTTGTGGCTCCACTGTAGCTGTGTCGTGTTACAGCCTCCTTCCTCTATCCGTGGTGCCTTCACCACTGCCGGTCACTTAGCACATAACTAGGCTCATTTGACGTGAGCCAGGCTTGTGAATGCGCTCCGATCAACTTTAGTCTGACTTGATCAGGACCACAGCCTTTAACATAGAAGAGCTGCGTCAGCGAAGGGTCAAAAACAGCAGCGGGTCACATGACTCATAACAATCCATTGCTTTCTATAGGAAATAGCGGCGTTATCAGCAAATGACTACTTTTAATAACACGAACAGTCTTGCAAACTAATTATGTTTGACAATATATAATTATATATTGAATTTGTAAGAAACTGATTAGAGTGAAAAATGATAGTGTGAGGCATGTTCTTTTATTTGAGAAGAGAAGACTAATAAAAGAATATTTCACAGTGTGAAATTTATTATGCATTAACGTATCAAAATAAGCATGTGCACATGGATCTTCACTGTTTAGGAAAAACAGAAAAGACTACTCTCAACCTATCGGTATACAATATTTGCATGAAAAGGTGCTACTATCTAATTGGTCAAAAACTGTGGAGGAGGAGCCGTGGTTTGGCCTTAACTCTCCTGTCATTGGTCCTTCAGTACGTCCGTCCTCCTACGTCCTTCTTGCTCCAATCGTAGAGGACAGCGCCCTAGGAAGGGGAGGAATACTTATACTGCCTTAATTTCTAAATAGACACTCACTTCTTCCTTTGTTTCTAACTAACTGCACCATATTAGGCATTGTTTTCCAGTTCACCAATTAAAACTGCTTTGCCTGTGTGTGTGTACATAATGGTTCTACCTTTGAAGTGTTCCCCTCTTCCAGCCTCCAGATCTAATCTCTGTATAAATAACCTTGGAGTCCCAAGGTTGCATTAGCCAGGTGGTGATAATAAATTAGCTGTGGACCCTCATAGTCAGAGCTGTAAATCTAATGAGATTCAGTGAACAAGTCCCTATGATGGTAAACAGTGCTTCAGTGACTAACACAGTAAATACTGACCAGTGATTCAGTGAACACATAGGGTGATATGTATCTATGTAAACATAACTGTGACATATAAGTATGTAAACTTATGTGTGCTATAATATAAAAACCTTAACAAATCCTATTCATAAGTGCGTAAAATAAAATTCACCCTAACAATAGCCTGCACCCTCTGTGATAAGTTAACACCTCCTGTTTTTTCTAATTTAACAGTAGTATTACTGATACACTATTCACGTGTTTAACTGCACACTGCATATAGATATGCTACAAGTTACACTGATAGCCATTAAGGTCTATAATGTAGTTATAATAATGTGACTTTTAACAGCTTAGTTTCTTGGCAGTGGGTAAAAATTTATATAATTACAATGCCTCAAAATGTAATGTGGAAACAGAAATGCAGGAGTCTATTTGGAAAACTCTCAGTTTTCCAGCAGATCTATATAAAAAAGTATAGATGTTTTTGTAAGCAGTAAGTGAGAGAATGCTAAAAATTAAAAATGGGCATAAAGACAATATTTTGTTTCCTGGTGCCGCTGCATTTGGTATTCCCATGTTTATTTCTTTTGTTTCCATTGACTGTGGCTGTGCCTGCCTTAGGTTGTCCTGAGATTCTGTAGGGGGATCTTACCCATCATAGGCAACCAGTCTGCCATACTTCACCTGTTCTTTTGAGAGGTATCAACCTACTTGTTTTTGCCTGATCAAGTGAGGTAAAACCAGTCCAGCTTTAAGGAGAATCTGAAAGTGTGTGAACTGACCAGTGCAGAATCAGTACTTATGGGACTGAGGATGCTTCCCAGTGGCCTCATTCACCTTGTTCAGGGTAATGTATCTTAAAAAGAGGAATGTGCTTTGAACATTTGCTGTCATGCTGTGACACATGTTTTGTCATTTAGTTTCTTATAGGACAGCATATGTGTGTGTTATGCTAAAACGTGGCATTAGGTTGAGTGTAACTCACAGTTTGGCATCTCAGTTCTTTCGTCCTCTTTACTACCGCACACCTGAAACCAAAGTACAGTTTAACACTGTTCAAGGGCGGCTGTGTTTCAGGGCTCATAGTTTGAGTCCTGTCCACATGTTAAAGTTTGCTTAACAAAGACATGCAGATTCTCCAGGGCTGGGACTTGTCCTACTACAAGGTGATGTTATGTCTGTGTAGGTGGAAAGGAAATTAATTAAATTTGAAATTTTTTCTTTTTTTACATATGTCTGAGATCGTCACACGTTTGTCTTGTCCATTGGTATCTCCCTTAAGTTGTTTCCTTTCTCTTAGGTTTACATGCTTAGGCTGGCCTTGATTAAATTTGGTTGAACTGGGAAAGGTCAAGTAACAACAGGATAAAACCAAGCACAATGTCTGCAGAGATTCTCAGTCATCCAGGTCACGGTTTGTCGAAAACTACTCAAAAATACCTAAAACAAGTCAATATAAAGTATTCGAGAGAAATCGAGAACAAGATTTTACATATGTGCATATTTACAATGCATTTTACCCCCAGGATTTAAGTATTGCACCTCAGTTGACTATTTCATAGTCCTTTATAATTTCACCTATCTTATTACTGCAGTGATGTGTTTTACAGTCTGATTGCTGTGGGGAGGAATGACCTACGGTAACGCTCCTTCTTACACTGGGGATGTAACATTCTTGTGCTTCTACTGTGTGGTGCAGGGGATGGGAGGGGTTATGCATGATGGATGTTAGTTTTACCAGCATCCTTTTGTCCGCCACCTCCTCGATGGAATCCAGAGAGCAGTCCAGGACAGAACCAGCTCTCTTAACCAGCTTGTTTAGTCTCTTTCTGTCCCTGACCGTGCTACCTCCTGCCCAACCCACAACATCGTAAAAAACTGCAGATGCCACCACAGTATCATAGGCCACGTTCACACTGCAGGCTGAAGTGGCTCAAATCTGATCTTTTTGCCCAAATGTGACCCATATCTGATTTCCTTATGACAGTGTGAACAGCACAAATCCAATTTTTTCAAATCAGGCCCAGGCCACTTTCATATGTGGTCCTAAATCGGATACATATCCGATGTTTTGCAATGCGACTTCAGTCTGAACGGCCAGGTCGCATTTCATGCAATTTTTATGTCATTGAAATGCGACATACATCACAATTCTACACGAGTGGTGGTGATTTCCGCCGGAGGTCAGTCACCATCTCTTTTGTCTTGCTGGTGTTCAGGGCCAGGTGATTTTTCTCATACCAGTCCACAAAATCAGTAACAACCCCCCTGTATTCCCCCTTGTTCCCCCAGATACATATTCAACAATGGCGGTGTCGTCCGAGAATTTTTGTAGATGACAGTGGTGGGAGTTGTACTTGAAGTTTGGCATGTAGAGGGTGAACAGAAAGGGGGAAAACACTGTCCCCTGGGGTGCGCCCGTGCTGCAGACTACCATGTCCAACACACAGTCGTGCAGCCTTACAAATTGAGGTCTGTTTGTGAGGTAGTTAATGATCCATTCAGACAGGTGTTGGTCCACACCTGCCCCCGGCAATTTACCCCTCAGCAGTGACAGCTGGATTGTGTTGAAAGCACTAGAGAAGTCAAAGAACATGACCCTCACAATACTTCCGGGGGACTCCGGGTGAGATAGGGCTCGATGCAGCATGTAGATAATGGCGTCATCAACCCCGATGCCAGGTCGATATGCAAACTGCAACGGGTCGAGGACTGAGCTCACTTGGACAATCCTCTCCATGGTCTTCATCAGGTGGAAGGTCAGGGCAATGGGTCTGTAATGTAGAGTAGAGTTGTCAGGATTGGCGTGTGATGCTGTCGAATATGTCGTGGTGAACTCAATTAAAAGGCCAGATGAGGATACATAAAACAAAATAGTTTCTTTAATAAGAGTACTAACGCTGAACAGAAAAACAAGACAAGACACGATGTAACACAAAACGCACTTACGGGTTGGTATAACAGTCCAAGGTCAGAGCCAGCAAACACATACAGCAAAGGAATCCAAAATGTGCTGTCCAAAGGGAAGTCCGATAAATCATACACCGTAGGCAGTCCGAAGTTAGAGGGTAATGCAGAACAGAATTGTCAAAGTACACGATCCGGGTCAAAACACAAAATACCAAAACCAAATAATGCTGGAGTCTAGAACAATCTGGCAGGGGAAGGCTGCTTATAATGCGGTGAAAACAGGTGCAAACAATCGGGAGCATGTGAAACTAATGTGAGTGATTAAAAAGACCGAAACTGAGGTGAAACAAAAACAGGAAGTAATGTCAAAATAAAAGCATTACAGGAAACAGCGGAACCGAAGCATGACAGTAACCACCCCACAAGGATGGCTCCCAGACATCCAAACACAAACCAAAACAGGACCAAGCAGGGAGGGAGGAGGGGGCCAGGAAGGAGGGCACAAAGAAAAAAACAAAACCCCAAAAAACAAGATAACCATGGGGTCCACAACAAATGACAGGGGGAACTGGGACCAAACAGGCAAAAGAACAAAACCAAAACCACCCGAAACACAGAGTCCTAGTCCACGGGGTGACCCTGGAAAACAGGGAGCCAGGCAACAGTCCAGGGAGGCCGCTCGGGAGGGAGGCCGCTCTGGAGGGCGGCCGCGATGCCAGGGAGAGGTCCAGGGAGGCCGTTCGGGAGGGTGGCCGCAATGCCAGGGAGAGGTCCAGGGAGGCCGTTCGGGGGGGTGGCCGCGGGGCCAGGCATAAGTCCAGAGAGGCCGTTCGGGAGGGCGGCCGTGGGGCCAGGCATGAGTCCAGGGAGGCTGCTCGGGAGGGCGGCTGCGTGGCCAGGCCGGAGACTGGAGAGGCCGCTTGGGAGGGCGACTTCGGGACCAGGCCGGAGACCAGAGAGGCCGCTTGGGAGGGCGACCTCGGGGCC